CATTTAGCGACGGCGGACAAGCCTGGTGTGTAGTGTGCAGTACTTGTTGTAGGGTCAGTGAATAATAAGTCTTAAATTCTTAAAAATTGATCGGGAAATTAAATATTTATCTTAGATTACATAACATTTCGTAGACTAAAATATTTTAAAGATACCTTAGTATTACTGTAAATTGATTAAAATGTCCTCGCCTACTAGTTTGCCTGGGAAACAGGCTGGGACTGTCATCGAACTGCGGGCGAAACGGCCGTTTTCGTGAAGTGAAAATACTAAAACATGCCGTGAAATGGTACAAAAACTAAGGTTTTTGTTTTCTGTTTCGACCCAGCCGTCTGAAAGTTCGTTGACAGTCTCAGCTATTTTTTGTATCACGTGAAAGTTGCATCCTGGGAATTGGATTTTAACGTGGTCGGGACGGATTATTCCGGTATGGACCGGTTTGGTTTCCTTAGTGATTTAGGGTTTAGGAATTTTCTAGTTATTTGTCGAAATAGAAGATTAGAAAAGATATCTTTGGATTTCTGTACATGACTACTTTCACTATTGATTTTTTGCAAACCTCGAAATTAAAAGCCTATTAGTTGTTCTGTAGATCTAATGGTTCCAAGTTTACTCCCGTTTAATTCTCCACATGAACTAGTGAGTTAATTGGTTCATAGTTATGAATCGTCAAATACTCGTGAAATATCTGTGTAGTGGAGCATTTGCACAGGGCCATTTACTTTATACTCAGGTCACAGCATAGATATATTAGAGGTTCATCGGCTCACTTTTGAGTGACGTTCATGTAGAATCATTTATATAGACAGTTTGAGTTTTGGTCAAATCTATGAATCTGAGTGCAAGTATTTCCATAATACTCTCGAGACCTTTAATTCGAGGGGATTTCCCTCCCGCTCTAATTTAGCCGTCCAGCTCGTAATAACAAACTCATGACGAAACATTACCTAATAATGGAATTAAATAAATTAGCAAACACCTAGACCCCTAGACGATCAGCCAAGCAGCCAGGGACGCGCTACATTGTGAGCAGGCAAAGTTTATCGTTGGTACGCCCCGGGAGGACTAGTTTGGTTGGCCGCCTTTATATAACACTAGAGTAGCTTGGCGCTTGCTACTGACTGTCAACTGTCAAGTAAACAGTGCTTTATAGGAAGCAACTTGTAACGCAACTTTCCGTTTCAACACGTTCAACAACGTGTTCTCTTTATCCTAACCGGTAATGTTTTATGTGTGTTCTTCTGCAGTCACATGAAATTTTGTGTTTTCGACTGAACGTGTTTATACTTTGTACCATTTCAACTGCGATAGTAAGTCCCGGCCGTTGGTCCGTTAGCCTGTTAGGGGTCGTTCATATCACGTTATCACTTTTTGGACAATTTTTACCCCCCCCCCTCTGTAAACAGCTTTACAGATAGCTATTGTGTTAAAATTACACACCCCCCCCCCCCCACCTCCCACGTAATAATAATATGAGACCCCTTACTTTCTTATTTTAAGGACCAGACTTCGTCAAAGTTTTCGGTATTTTTCCATTCTCATAAAGTTGACATTCGGTTATTATTTATGATGATTTAAACGATCAGATCCTGTTGTACGGAGCTAAAGTCTGGAACACCACTAAGAAGCAAATGAAGCGTTTTGAGGTTTTCCATCTGACCTCCCTGAGAAGAATCTTGAAAATAAAGTGGGTTTACCATGTCCCCAATGATGAAGTTCTAAGGCGTGCTGGCGTAAAGTCAATAGACACTTTCAACGGTTCTGCTAGACTACGGTGGTATGGACACGTTGTAAGAATGCCAGAGACTAGGTAAAGGTTACCAAATTTTCTACTGGAGTGGAAACCTAACTATGGAAAGCGATTGAGAGGGAGACCCGAAAATGCTGGATGGCCTGTGTACTCGAGGATGCTGTTAACTTTACAGGTGTTGACAACATCAGCCGAGATGCAGTACGTCAGTTAGCACTGAACCGAATGGAATGGAGGAACCTGTTACGCCGTACAAGGGAGGCGTGTGATGCAGGCCACTCCAACGACTGCTGACTAGGAGGGGACCTCTTCATGTAGCATGTATGTAAACGATCAGACTCGCATTGTTCGATCGTTTGAATCCTCATGGCATTCATGATTATCGAGTGATGAATCACAATGCTCTGTAACTGTTTATTCAAATGTTACCCCTAAATAGCCTGAGCCCGATTGTGTGTGGACAAGTACGTCTGTTACATAAGTAATATTTGGGGAAAATTTGGAGTAAATTTAAATATGCACCATATGTTCTAGCATGTGACATGGTACGATTTATAATTTTATTTTAATTTATTTCTCGGTTCGTTTTACCTAACATATTCATTTATTTCTAGCCAGCCTGATGGTAATCAGAGAACATTGATATAATTTACTGCGAGCTGGTCTCAAGTCCAGACGCTATCATTTGTACCACTTAGTACTTATATTACATATTACTTAGTACTTATACTATAATATATTACCCATGCCTTTAGTATTTAAACAATATGGTCTACGACTTTTACACACCATAATGCCTCATGATGTCGTTTATTTGTAATTCTCTTTGCTGTATTGTATATGTACTATTTATAAAAGTTTCAAATCAAAAATCATTTCATTTTCATTACAATAAGGGATCGTAATATTTTAGCAATTTTTAACCCTCTCCATAATCAACTGTAATCAAGACCCAACCCCCCCCCCCCCCCCCCCCCCCCCCTTGACTTTTTTCCCTCGAAAACACTTTTCTCATTGTTATGATATCCGGCCAAACACTACTTGACTACTGATAAGTAATATATCTTAATCACTTAGAAACACCCCCCCCCCCCCCCCCCTCAGTAATTATGTAATATGCGAACGATTTCTTATAGGCCACGCAGTATGTATATTACAGTGAGACTTTGGTATAATTAACTTTGTGCCACAAGACGGTCAAAATATGATTACTTTCACTGATTTCTTGTGCATTTGGACGACACAACAACTTAATACGGTTAACTCATGCTATTTGTATTCTCAGGTTGCCATGTAATTTTGTTTAAGTCTACGAATTTCGATCGGTATCAGTATTCAGCAACTGCAATCATCTCACAACTCTAATCAGTTCCAAAGATTCTTCCTGTCTTGATTCATCTCAATATTGGAAATATTTCGAATGGGGGTTCACCCTGGTCGTTTTTTCGGGAACGTCTCCTGGGAATATTACTACGCTGAGAATTTAGGAATTCAGACTTCTGACTGGATCCTTGCATCTGTTATCATTTTTTTTAGTGTGGTTGGAATTTTGCGAAACTTTTCTGCCCTTTTTTACTTCTGGACAAAAAGATGCAAGAATATTCCGGACCTTCTGTATCTTGCTATATCAGCAACAGATTTCCTTTCTGTTTCTTTATTTATTCTATGTACAATATCACTGCTAAATGACCGAAAACTAATGCTCTTCAATAATGAAGTGTTCTGCACAGCATGGGCATCGGTTATAACATTCACTGCAAGGATGTCAATGTTTCTAGCGATGATGATATGTTTAACTCGCACCATCGTAATGCAGTGTCCCTTCCGTCATATAAAACGATCTTGGTTGATTGGAGCTACATCTGGATATGCAGGCTATATGTTGGTAATTTTCTTGATTTACCTCTCTCAGAAGTGGCATTACGGAGCATACTCGTATCAACTATCTTCTTGCATTCTTGTCACCTTGAACTTTCGCAGTGGAGTACCCGTATTTGCTGCTTATTTTGGAGCAGTTTCTTTTATTTTAGAACTCTTTTTGCCATCAGTGGTAACGTTATTGTGCTTTTTGGTCAGTATGTGGGTTTTAATGACCAGGCCAGCAGTTGGTAACGGAGATGACAAGAAGTTTCGCAGAGTCTCAGTCTCGATCTGTGTTTTTACTGCCGTGTTTTTGATGTGTAATCTGCCTTGTTCTCTTTATGTGATATGGGATTACCTCGGCTTGCTGAATATCCTACCTCTTGCTGCGGAAGTACTTGTCAAAGATCGTAGATATTTATTCTACTATTCCCAACTCATGTTGCAGTATTTCCCAGTATTTTTAAACGCTACAATCAACCCACTGGTTTACTTGCTGAGGATGCGAGGATATCGAAACTGGGTCTATCAAACTCTAAGGCGTCCGGGAAACTCTGCAAATCTCACAACAAGGGATTCTGCAAATCACAAAACGGGGGACCCTGCAAATCACACAACGTAAGTGGTACACTTACTCAGATATATGTGATTAAAACGTGGCCACTATTACGGGCCGATTTTTGGTAGATTTCCAATAACCCTTGACGAAACGACATTGAATCTCGTTTTATGCAAGTAGTATTATATATCACACCCTATATAATATTAGATTTAGAATCAGATGCAACTATAAAGTTTATTTCGAGAAAATGTTTATGGTGCTCACTAATAATGGATGCTGTATAAAGCACATTTTTAATTATTAAAATGTTTACTGTATCATTCCGGTGTTCTTATATTTTGGTTACCTAAATATTGACAGTAGCTATACCTGTGGCTAGCATATAACTAACCATTTTGATGTTTCAGTCAACTTATTGATAAATGATAAAAATTTACGCTTCTTACGTATTTTAAAACCCAAAAACTGTTTTCCTTTTCCACAATCCCTAGTTTTAGTTTCCACAAAATTCGATTTTGGACCGCTCTTAGAATATATAGCGTAGTTTGTACTTAAATTTGTGGAATCTCTGTTCAGGAAATATCATATTTGAAAATGGGACAAAAAATAGAACAATGTGATTTTCCTTTAAAAAATTCTTTCTCCGGAAATAGGGAATTTAACTTCCAGTATCTCAATTGTGTCGATTGTCCATAATTAACTAACTAACTGATTGTTAATAAGTGTAAGCCATCTGACCTGGTCTGGTATAAGATGTTTTAAGTTTCTATCCCTATTCTTTTAAACAAGATCTCTCAGCAATAGTTGGCATTCTGTACTCAGACAAACCTGAATTGATAGAAGAGTGCTAGTAGTCTGTCCACTGCACACACTCATCGAACTACCTTCCTCCACAATCAGCAGAGATTCTATCTCTCTCAACCGCTTGTCTTCCTCGAGAGAGGCTCTGAACCCACCATCGTCTGCAATCGCCACAACGTTCTGAGGAAAGTTTAAGATTTGAAGCAAGCGTGTACTTAAGTACCGTCTTTTTGGCATGTATTACAATGATTTTGTAAACAATGCTTCTGTAATTAAATCTGTAAACGAAATAAATAAAATTACAAATAATAATTAGGCAATGCGCGCGCGGCGGAATTGTATGAGTCACTGCGCACAATGAAAAAAGTACACAAGATTTATTATCGCGTGTTCCATTTTAAATTTTAGAAGACCGTTTAGACAAAATTCTAGATTACTTCAGTCTGTTCTTCTGTGACTGTATCCAAGTCACTAAGAATTTCACTGAGCCGCTGTTTTTCTTCTTCTGTCATCGCAATTGCAGCCAAAGCATCGTTCGCTAACTCTTTATTTCTGAGGAGAAAGTCGAAATTTATGTCATTATGTGCGCTAAACAATAATATACATAATTAAATATCTGTCATACTTTAATTGACCGCACTCCCTCTAATTTTTCTTGTCTTCTCATCTTTCCAGCGTAAATTAATGATTCGAATAAGGTCTACACTTGTCAAGACTTCAAGAGTCAAGCGGGGAAATCAATTAGCTCAATCACGAAATTATCAGAGCCTTACCTTGCAATAAAGTTCTTATTATTTGCATTTTTCCGATCTTCTTTTCTTGAAAAGTTGCTCTTTTTTGACTGGGCACTTCCTCTCCCTTTCATCCCACGCGACTGACCACCACGAGATTGATCACGTGACTTGTTTCTGCTCTTATCACGTGGTGTTGTTTTTGTGCTGTTCGTCCTGCTAGTGACTGAGTCGGTTGAACTGATCGGCGGTAGAGAGGATGTGTCTGATTCTCCGTCCAGGAGTTGGGTCGCAAAAAATATTGGGGTGACATCGCCTTTAAGATCTGATATGAGAGTCAGATCATCTCCACCTGATGAACAGGTGTTGTTACTTGTTATCTATTGTAAATTAGGGGTGATGAGGAAAATGAGTTGTTTATAATTTGTTATGTCAGATAATTAGAAATCACACTGTATATTGACACCTCTATTATATCGTCATTCGATAATAATTTTGTTATGTTTATCAACAGGTCCCCATCATAAAGTCATAAGGCTATATATACTACTAATTACTATAGACAAAAGGTAATTCACAGAGATGACGCCCCCGGTGGAGAATAATCTCTGTATATTAGCCAAATAAAGAATTGAGTTGCCTGGATACTCAAATATATAACACTGTTTACAAATTTACCAAAAACTAACCGTCATCCTGAAGTTCATTATTCTGAATGAGTTGAGAGCCAGAGTTGTACAATAATATCTGTTTATTGAACAACTCGTGTCGTTTCTTCACCTGATAAATCGTCAAATTAGTCAAATCGTCAAATTAGTGATAGGAGTCGTGTCAAGGGATATATCTTTAGCATTTTAGATTCTCCACAAAAAATGACGTTGGTAAAATGTACTAGGTGGAAGGTAAGAATTTAAGAAATGTAACCTCTTTTTCACGCTGTATAACAAGTCTCAGGTGCTTATCCAGTTGTTTCATCTTCAGCGCTGCTTTGCGCACCTTCGCGTCAGGGTGCAGCGCTAGCAGCTCGTACAACCCCATTCTGTGGTTGTGATGACTGGTTATTAAACATTTAGTAGGGATACATCAGTAGTATGAGAACATAAAATGAGATCAATTTATTACTCATGTCTAGAATTAAACACAGTTCACCAGAATGGAAAGATTTACCAACATAAAAACTTACTTGGTCAGTTTTTGAGGTTGGAGATCAGGAGTGGAGTCTTCAGCTCTACCAGGATCTATTAGAAATAATTATTGTTTAAACCAACTTTACTATTTAAACAGGCAGCATTTTCACTGTTAAACGAGTAGTTCAAGAAATATAAAATAGAACAATGGCCTTTAACTAAGCTGCAACTTCACTTGCAACAAGAAAATACCCGTTTGCTGAGTGGTGACAGTGCACTGGGAATTAGATCTGGTGATCTGATCTGATTCCGATATCAGATCCAGGGTTGATTGTTGTGCTGATCCTTGGCTTGTCATCGTGCTTTCTCGTGTTATTATCCTTTTGAACTCCTCTGCAATATCTTAGTTAAAAACCAGCAAGTAAAGTTTGTGGATATAGCAGCCTAAATTCCCTGCACTTGGTCAGCTGAACCCTTGACAACGATATAGTAATTAGTGGAGTGTGTAATTATTACAGAAAACAGTGATAGTTAAACTCAGATCATTATACACGGGAAAATCGAGATGGGGGAACATTATATCTGTTATCAATTATCAAGGGTACCTATGAAGCACTACCGTACACTAAAATGGAAGCGCTTTACCTTCGTGTTCAGCCTCGCTGCTATTGACACCACTATCTTGGGTAAGTTCCCTGTCGAGTGCTGCTAGCGCCTCCTCCACTGCTGTCTTCTGGACTGTAAGATGTGCTTCTATCTCAGTGGCTACAGGACCTAGCGTAGAACACGGTTTATTGTTGGCAGTTAGACGATGTAATGTAGAAACTACAGATCTTACTGTATTAAAAATATAATATAATATCATGTCTGGAAACCTATATAGCTATATGAGTAAATGATACCATCGCCTCAAAATAGTTTATGATTCTATTGAGTAATAAAAAGCAACCCTTTTTTGTTAACAAAACCCATAATTTAACCGCCATTACCCTCTATAGACTGCTTGGGAGGACCGTCCCTAATCTCCCTAATCTGTTGTAGGAACCCCTCCAGCTCCTTGTTTATGTTCTCCTGGGCCGTCAGATCTATATCTCTTGATGGAACAAGTTCCTGTTCCTCGAACACTGACACCTGGTGTGATATGGCTTTGTTAGGGCTCCCTCCAGGCTCCAATCCTGCGCCTCTGGTCATGAGTCGGGCAATGTTAGTCTCCACAATTATTATAAACTCACATACTCCTTTACGTTGCGAGTAACGTTACCTTTGCGAACATTCTATATTTTAGTTAACAAAATTTACAGCATACTGTAAATTATAATAATAATCTGTTTTCCATTCGATCATATAATTGATGTTTTGGGACAAAGTGAGAGTCTCCATTCAGTTTTTACAACAACAATTACAAAAATATACAAAAATTTCAAAAATTTATATAAAAATAGCTTTAAAGTTAACCGGTTTATTGAGTAGAGACATGACAGTGGTGTTAGAATTGCCTCCATCTCTCATGTTATCCACCAAACTAGCTAGAAAGTCTTGTGTTCCTTGGCTTACTGGATGACTGCTTTCCTGGTTATGGCGGAAGTAATTATCTTCTAATCATAGAAGTATGTGGATTGTGGTAGTTGTTGATAGTATATATGGTTATTTTTAGGAATGTTCCGGAAAGATCTCAGTTCAACTGAGCTTCTCGAAAGTAATCTTAGATAACTAACGATAACACGGGAGTTATAGAGTGCGGCCTTCTTCCCGGAAGAGAATTTCTGGAAATGACCTTTTATAATCGCTCACCACGTAATAAGTAATGGTACCTAAAGGCTAAAGTTGAAATACAGAACCATTACATGGTTCTTGGTAGAAGATTATAAAAACACGTGGTGTAAATTTTCAGGCCACTTGTAATATACTCTAAGCTAGTTGTAAGCCCAGACTCGAGACGTCATCATTCATTGTTTTTCGTTAGTGTTACAATAGCCCTGTCTTGTGACGTACGTTTCACGTGCGTGTTATATGTTGTGAATTGGATGTGTCAGGAGTCGCGATCAGTGAGCACATTCTCCCCAGGGAACAGATCTCATTTTAAATATTACCTTTGTTTTTGGTTTGGATCCAGCAGGCGCGGCAGTATCTACCCATTTCTCAGTTTGTAAACGTTTATACGGGTTAACTCTGACAGGTTCTTTTTCTGCGGAAAATAAAACTTAGATAGTTGAGAAGTAATGAGGAATACATTATATAAGTTTACATATTGTCAGACCGGGTCTGACGAGAGCTTTGTACGTTAAAAACTTAATTAATAATTATCTTTGATAAAGGTAGTTTAGAGGAGCGGTAATAAGTGTTTTGTAATTAAATCTATTATATCCTATTATAAACTAATTTTATCCTATGGCTGCGGGGTCAGCGGGGTCCTTTGTTACAAGGAGAGTAATCATCATAATATAGTAATTATCATAATATATCTGTCTAGTAATTAAATAAGTTAATAAGTTAAAATTGATTACCTTGCTCCCAGGCGTTCTCCTTTCTGTGTATAATCGGGGGACCCCAGCCCCCGCCACCTCCGCCACTGTCCATCTGATCCTTTCCTTCGAACCTGCGACTATATGGGTTAATTAGCAAACTTAGAAGCGTGGAGTGATTAATTAAGTGATAATCGTGAGGCAAAACTATAGTATACATGTGCGATAATCTTTGTTGCATGTGATAAAATAATATTGAACGTAAGGAAGTTCTGTGAATATCTCTATACTAGTGTTTTCGTGAGTTCATCTCATAACATGACGTGTATGTTCCTGAACTGAACTAAATTGATTAGACAAGATGATAATGAAGTAAAGAAGTAACAGCGTATAGTGTATTATACCATGAATCAGATATGATCTCCATAGTCCCAGTACTGGCAGCGGATGGAACGCGCGTTATGTGGGGTGAGGTCAAGTCTTGAGGATTCTGGTCTTCCATTTTGCTATACCTTTACCTAAAGCATATCATTATTAAGGAAATAAAGTTTAGGAAGGAGAGGGGGCCGGACGAGGGGGGGAGGGGGCAAATAACGAAAATGATTGGATTCAAAACAGCATGTACGCATTACGCAATACGATCCAATGAATTTCACAAAATGGGGCAAAAAGATTAGATATTTCTAATCGAGGTGATATTGTATTATTTAATGGGTATTGGGTATAGTATTTGAAATAAGATTTTGCAACACCCTGATGATTTTTCTTTGAAAAGTTACTATAATAGGCTAATCGTTGTCTCACATCGTGCCAACTCGTAGTCGCCCCTAATTTTAGTAAAAGATAACCTTTTCAACTTCTTTACCATAAACCTGGCCGTCTCCGTGGCATTGGATTAGCCTTTTTCTAAACGTTTGAACAATTCGAACGCTTAGAAAAAGGCTAATCCAATGCAACGAACAATTATTGATCGATTAGATCCAACAAAGTATATGATATTGCTCTCGAGAAGTGAGAACTTCAAAAACATTAAAGAAATGACAAATATTTCACAAAGCACAATGCAGATACATAAACCTCTTTTTTCCGCCAACAGCAAATGCTCTGTCTTCTACGAGTCAAATTTCTAATTATTGTAAGGAACAGCTCTGTAGTATGTTATCATTATAATTTTAAGAATATTTATCATTTGCGATCTTAAAACCTGTTTACTTTCAATTCATATTTCTTCATTATACTAATTTGATTCACGACACTGATACTACTATAATATGTTGGTTATACAAGTTGATACTACTTAATATGATACTACTTTTATTCATGAAAATCATACTACTATATTATTTTTCTGATAGGCTGCTACTGTTTGATATTTATGTTATTATTTAAACGAATAATTCAACTCCCCGCCAGTTTCCAGATCGATAGTCGCTTCTTTCCTTGCTAAGTTGCTAACATGATAATGCCGCGGCAGTGGCTATGGTTCTTTCATTTGTTTGCTGATTTCAATCGTCTTTTCAGAAGTTCGTTTATTCGACTCGGTTATCCACAAACTTTTACAAAAAACCAGCCATGAACGAGTAATCTTAGTCTTGGTAGTTTGTATTTGAGAGAGCCTCCAATTGTTATTAAAGACCTAGACTAACTTATGTATTTTCAGAATGTTAAAATGTTAAGAATGAAGAACCTCTCAATGACCTGGCAACTCCTCATTTACGGTCTTATTACAGTAATTGCTGAACCAGGTGAAACATCTTTCTCTTTAACGTTTTAAAAATGAAATACCAACAATTTCTGATCACAACCAATTTGAGTTAGTTGTTCTGTTATAGCTTTGAGCTGAAATCCTGTCGGGGAATTTTGTCATTTACAGACCAAACATTTGTGATCGTTAAAATCGTAATTTGACAACAACAAAAATTGCTAGCCTTTTGTCACGTCTGGTGCAGAATAGGAGGACTCTTTTGTGCCTGGGCACTCATAACTTAAAATGAGACAGCGTACGTTTAATATACCTACTATAGTTATCAATTCTCAGATTACATGCCCGTAAAATGAGTAAATTCGTAGCTGCCCCATTTGTGCATTGTTATCGAAATCTTTGAACATGACCTCACGCGGCAGGTAGATCCTTTCAGTATTAGGTACTAATAGTAATACATAATTCATACTTGTACACAGCTCTCTAGTTGTATATTATTTAACCATTTACCAAATCTTAACACCCACTACCCAAAAAGAGTACAGGAACATCGCACAGTACGGTGTTGCTACACAGGAGAGTACCAGTTATGGTGGTCTTGCTAGCAGAGCAATAGATGGCAACACAGATGGAATCTGGACCAGGTTAGGGTTGAAGAGTTTAAATTATCTGTTCCTATTGTTCTATAATATTTTCTGTAATATAATAATGGTATTGGTCGTAGTTTTTTAAATCAAGAGTATTGAGATAACCAACAGTTCTATTTTCATAAAAATTAAAAAGTATATAAATATACAACAAACCGTACGGTTTCAAATTTGATTCTTTTCAACATCTAAAAAATCAATTTGTTTATATTTCAGTGGATCGTGTACAAGCAGTACACATTCCGTTCTCCTGAACGGAATGCCAGGGCCAAACTGGTGGAAACTAGAGTTTCCTACTGAGGTGCAGATAGATTGGATTAATATATGGAATAGACTGGATGTAACTTGGGGAGACTTTCAGTACCGCATAGATAAAGTTAAGGTTACTAAAATAAACACAATTACAAATGATGAAGGGAAAACGAACGATAAGGAACAAAAATGCAAATGAATGAAAAATCTTGAACAGAAAAAGAAACAATAGTGCCCACAAGTCAAACAAACAATTCCACACAGTCCCACTCAGGGGTGTAGGAAGCGGGGGGGCAGGGGGGGGCCATCGCCCCCTCATGAAATCTGGGCAAGGGGCCAAAAAGGGCCAACTTTTTAATTTAGGTTTCTAAACATTTTTGGGAAAAAAAATTTTTTCCCCGAAAATTTATTTAGTCAAAAATTTTCAAAGTTTTTCTGAAAACTACTTTTGTTTATGTTTCATGCTACCCTGATCATTATGAGCCAAAAATATTTTTTTTGGTTTTCGAAGTTCGATGTATGATTTTGGACTCGAGGGTTCCCCTTTGTGATGCGATCTCGGAAGGCAGGCATCCCCTTCGCATTACGAGCTCAGAAGCGGGAGCTCTGCTTTCAGAGGTACGTATCGAGAATGACTCGGACCGAAAATTTTCTAAGTCAAAATTTTTCAAAGTTTTTCTGAAAACTACTTTTGTTCATGTTTCATGCTACCCTGATCATTATGAGCCAAAAATATTTTTTTCGGTTTTCGAAGTTCGATATATGATTTTGGACTCGAGGGTTCCCCTTTGGCCTTTGTAATGCGATCTCGGAAGGCAGGCCTCCCCTTCGCAATACGAGCTCGGAAGCGGGAGCTCTGCTTTCAGAGGTACGTATCGAGAGTGACTCGGCCCGAAAATTTTCTAAGTCAAAATTTTTCAAAGTTTTTCTGGAAATTACTTTAGTTCATGTTTTATGCTACCTTGATCATTCTGAGCCGAAAATATATTTTTCTGTTTTCGGTTTTTTGAAGTCCGTGCCTACATTCGAAAGGTTGTGGATGCGATACTGATTGGTTTCATATACTAATTATAGAAAACGAGAATTTGGTCCGTAGATTTAAAGGAAAATGCGCAATTTGACGCGGAGAACTGAAAAAAATGGCGATTTGTCGTGAGGCCAGAATCTGAAAAATCGCGATTTGTCGCGGCAAACGTGAAAAATCCTCGAAATTCAGGGTTTGGCGCGAAGCGCCAAAAAATTTAGGGTGTGGCGCGAAGCGCCAAAAAATATTTTGAATTTGGCCCCCCCCATGAAAAAAATCATTCCTACACCCCTGGTCCCACTACTAGTAGAATACCACCATCAAATTGCAGGTATACGTTGGCAATGTCACATGCGGAACAATAGACTACAATTGGGGTACCAATCCTTACCATATCAACTGTGGTCCTTTAATAGCAAGAAACGTAACAATTGTAGGCGGCTCAAACAAGGACGGAATTTTAACTCTGTGTGAAGTGGAAGTGTATTCTAGCAATGGCCCAGGTAAAACCTTTCAGACACCTTGAAATTACTTTTCAACAACCAATGTTTGACTCTCCAGCTTGTAAAAGGTCACAGTTATTTCAAAAATTCGTAACTACCTTTTTTTACTTCTTGAAATCATAGTCCATGGCCAATGGAAATTTGACTAAAATTTACGTGTTATCAACCGTCCATAATATCATTTACAATAATCAATAACTAATCAGTGTTTAAGAACATAGCAAAGTACGGGACAGCGACACAAAAGAGTACAAGTTATGGTGGTGTGGCTAGTAGAGCAATAGATGGCAACAAAGATGGCATCTGGTCGAGGTAGCACCTTCCATGTTATCCTAATTGTTAGATGAATTAACCACTTTTTTAGCGGTACTGTTTAAATTATTGTTGCGATTATAACACTAGATTATTATAACACTAGATCGTGATATTTAGTGACAAAAGAACATTCAGAAAATTAAAACAAAATCGAATCTCTAAATGCAAAAAGTTTATTCATGACTAAATAGGAAGTCTGTACAGTGAGATTTTTTAAACAGCAAACCAGATAATATTATGATATCAACAATGGTCTCAATACAAGTTATTTCAGTGGGGGATGTACGCATAACAACGGTAAAGCAGGAGAAAATATCACATCTTGGTGGAAATTAGAGTTTTCTACAAGCGTACAAATAAACTGGATCGACATATGGAACAGAATGGATTTTAGATATAACGTCCAATACAGAATTGATAAAGCGGAGGTAAACTTCTTAACATATACATTTCAGTGCTTTAATATCTACAAAGAGAGAAGTTGATCTAGGTAGAAAGAAGAATCAATGGCGCAAAATGTTAAAAATTTTGAGCCACTTGATTTAAAAATTCTAGGATGAATGTCGAATAAAACGAAAATCCCTCTTTTTGTTTACGACTTCTTGTTGAAAATTTAAATTGCGATTTGGGTAAAGCTTTGAAATGTTTTTAAATGTAGAATTAGATGTTCAAAGCCCTTTACGTTATATTATCTTCTTAATTCTCCTAGGTTTATCTCGAAGACGTTTTCTGTGGATCTGTAAAATTACTCTCGGGAACTAACCCCTATCGTATAGATTGTGGAAATATAACAGATACAAATATCACAATTTTCGGTGGACGAAATGATGCTGGTGTTTTGACTCTGTATTCCTTCAATCCACCAGGTAAAATGTGACCATTAATTGTAAATCTCCCGTTCACTTCTACCTCAAAGATCATATTATCACGAGTTCTCAAGTCAGTATATTATCTAACGATGCAATGGCCATTGCCGATTAAGAAATTTTAATATACCAGATACCTGTGTTGGAGCCGATGTGGTGAAGTTTATCCGGCAGAAGTATTAGAGGGATCTTCAGTCACTGCTCGATGTGACAAT